CATCTGTAAAGCTCACCTTTCCTTATTGGTTGAACTGTCGCTATGCTCATGACCGATCAATAGGAACTGCACTGAAACTCTCCAATTCCGGGTCCCAAGCATTCCTATACAAACTGAGTAAACTTCGAGATTCTGAGGTTTAAACAGCAATTTACTGGGATCTACCAGTCCATTCCAGAAGAAACTCGTCCATAACCCCATCAAACGCCATTCGACGTCTTCCGCTCAGTTATTGTGGGAAATTGGAAATCCCTACACCATGGATGAAATTCCTTCATGACAATAAGGCTTGCTGGAAAGAACGTGCTGCTAAAGGTGGGATACTGTAGCTGATTTTCTCGTACTGCATAGCTTTACTTAAAATCTCCGTTACCACTATGAATCTGATTTTTGCAGAAGAAGAAGAAAGGAAGAGGGCTGAAGCCGAAAAAGCCGCTCTTGACAATGGAGAAGTTCAAGAAAATGGCAAACCTTAGTAGCAAAAAATTCACTTTATGGTACACCTCTGACAAAGCTCTACAGTATACCTTTATTCGTTTGTAATTATGCATAATAACAATTGAGAAATTGGTCAACGTTGTCGAAAACATTTTTTGAGATTTTTCTCTCAAAAAGCTTTTGGAAAAGCTACATTTACATTGATGTATTTTATTGAGCAATAAGATTTCGCGGTAGGACCGCATCCGATTCTGTAGCAGCTTGTAGGGTTCTCATACTCATTACTTTACATTCGACCTGATCTGGCATCCTAATACGGGCACTTATATTTCCACTCCATTACTGTAGACATATTATAGCTAATACGATATGTAGCAAGCAAGAAAGGCATGTATGTCATTGTAGATGTCATTTGCACTGTCGACATTGCACCTCGAATAGTGCTTAGAGAGATATTGGCGATGATTTGATGTAATTTTAATTGTAAGAGTATTTATGTGTATAGAAAATTTGCAGGAATTTACTGCGTACATACAATTTCCATATGTGTTCATTTAAGAATAAAATGCAAGCTATCGATCACTTTAGAGAAATTTTTTTGTTGTGCACACAAATGAACTTACAGAAGGGTGTGATGCAATAGGTTCGGACTGCCGCGTCGCGGCGAGAAAGACGCCGCGCGCGAAGGAATTTAGGAGAATGCAGCAGTGAGTAAGATTTACAGGAACGAAAAGACTAACATCAGAATCATGTCAAAGATAATGAATGCATATCGATTGAACTGTATGAAGAACGCTAGAACTATAATGAAGAGGCGAATGGTCCGCGACTGTCGTGCGCGGCGAATCGATTACACAAAACCGGCCCTACTGCCCGTCTCCCCTTACAGGAAGATCATGGGATCCACCAAAAATCTGTGAAATATGATAAGAAGAAAAAGTAAGTTTTTTCTTATTTTCGGATTTGTCCCATTTGTAAATAGCACGCAGCTTTGATGGATTTTCACTGACTTCCTACGACAATCCGGAATTTTGTTATTTGTATCAAAACCGAGGATAAGGATAAGAGGATGAAGTCTGATGACTTTCCTTTCTGGGAAGCGCCACGTATTCAATATCCGTTCAGGTCCGTAGTGGGCGTTTTAAACGCGTACTTAGCCTGCTCAATGATTTGCAGTGCCCACCCAATGGGTCGATGCTTTTATCCTCCCAGTCGAGTCTTGGCCAATGAAGATCCAGGATGAATGGGAGTTTTGCTTGGTTCAGGAGCGTGTCATTGTCGGAACCAATCGCGTGGCGGGACTATGTGGTAGTGCGTTGCTTGGCTCTACACCAACTCTTCCT